GCAACTCTGCCTGTCGCATTGTGAGAGCCAACAAAGTGCTCTTTTCAAAAGTCATTCAACAAAGGCGTTATCACTAAAACCTTGTCAGAAATAAATCTTAATGGAGTCTCGACTTACTGAGTTTCTATGTGGTTAAGCTAAAAGAGGGGAAATAAGCTGCTGCTGGAGGGAGTAGCGACTAACATTCACCCCAACAGCTTCTTGCTTTCCTCAAGAGCCTCCTTTTGAAGAGGCATGTCGGCGTACTGGTAGCTCCTTGAGGTGATCAACATAATCCTCTCCTGATGTATTGCCTACAAATGGATAGCTATTAGGTAACATAATTCCTGATTGTCGTTGATTCTTACCCTACTTTTTAAATGCTATATTTTGCATTTAATTACTTTATTCTGCTCTTATATTTTAAGTTTAAGGAAGCATTATGTCATTGGGGTCTATGAAAATATAAGCAGTGTCTGATGCAGTTTTACGGTGACGGATCAAGGTACACTTAGCAGTTGGTGGTACACATGGCCCCCATTCACCAGTTATTATTATCATTTTTACTTGAGAAAAGTAGTTTTTGCATATTATAGAACCATAAGTGTCGTCTCAGCCGTGGCGTAGAGGAGTGTTTCTTCATGACAAAACGGTTTCAGAAAGGAATTGACCAGTATATTCTGGGAATTCCAAAGCAATGGCATGCTTGACGTTTTTCTCATCTGTTGTGAACCAATTTTGACATAGATCAGAACAGTAAATGCCATTGTTGACAACTCAAACGAGTGGTCCTCTTATAAAGTGAAACCTTTGTCTTTTCGTCAGCCCAATTATATTTTCAAAACATTCGGTTTAGAAGACTGATTTTTAAATGCAATACTGCGCTGTTTGAAAAAGGACTCCAGGTTCTCATTTGGCAAATCAGTGTTTACATTCTCTCATCATCAAATACATCAAAGCTGCCACTTGTGCTTTGGTGGTGGTGGGACCCATATCAAAAAACACCAGTAGTCCCTTCCATTTTGAAATTAAGCAGTATTCCATTTACTTCAAACTATTACACTTTGAAGTTCGGTAACAGAATTTTGTGAGGGCAAACCAAATACGCCATTTATAAGCTCTACATTCTGGTGTAGCCTTTGAAATTCCCTTTTTCATTTCACGGTGCTTGGTACTTCCAGCAGTATTTTTATGAGGCCGTCTTTTTGTTTTTGGGAATCACTATTTTCCGAAAGATTTGTGAAGTCAAGGTAAAGGAAATTTTACTTTACCTGAATGTATTATATGAATGCAATTTTAGATCAATCTACAATTTGATAATTTTGCCCATGCTGTGCCTAAAGTGATGTCTGAAGACATGAAAAGGTGAAGTGACAGGGAGGAAGGCTTGGCATTGACGTAAAAAGCGGCTGCAAGGCCGTAGACAACACAGACGGGCTCCCATGACGCCAAGGTAGCGACTAAACCGCGTAGTGTGATAAGTTTGCGTGATTGAATATATAATGAAAATAAGACCTTACCAAATACCTTTACCACCTTGTCAGTCGCCCTTCTGTGTCGATCCTTACAACCATTTTAAGTAGCGATCAAGCGTGAGGAAGGAGCACAGACAGTACATTTAGTCGGAAATCTTAAATACAGTACCCTCCCATAAAATGAGGAGATCCATTTGAGGAATGGGGCTTAAGGGTAGACACTGTTTTCAATTATTTTTCTTAAGAAATTTCCCTAAAGGTACCATAAAGAGGACAGACGTTATGTCAACAGGCCATGCTAAGTATCAGTTTTTTGAAAAATACCTCTAATCCGCTAAAACTTGCTTTTAATTTGTTCGTGATCACTGACCCAAGAAACCTCGATTCTTGCCGTTGTCGGCGATCAATGCTGTGCTTGCGGTGAATTCGTCCCCAGAATCTACTTAGGTTTTGTCCATTTAGTAAAAATTTGTTTAAATCTTTGCTTTGGTTTCGTGGGCATGGCATCCAGATTGGCCAGTAGCTCCTCAGCCCTTCTCCACGTCTGCAATACACATTTTGACCTAGCATTATAGCTTCCTTGGACTTCAAGGAAGACCGGAGCAATAAAATCAAATAATAAATCACTTTTCCAAATTTGTACAATCGTTGAATGTTATCATGCCGTATTAACGAAATGGATGATAAAAAATAAATTTAAGCTAGACCAACTGTGCATTTTGGCAAAGCTTCGTCTTTTGCAATTGTTGGCTTTTTTGGTGCACAAAGTTTGCCTTAAATTACAAATGTCAGAGTGCATCAGTTTGCTTGAAACAAATTCGTGGTAATTTTGCTTGTAGGATATGCTGTAGGTGAAAACACTTTTACCAACAGCCATGAGATGTCATTTCGGACTCCACAGTCTTGCGTGGCTTCAATTTAGGGACGAAAGTATCCTCGAGTGATTTAAATTTGGACAATTGCCACCAGCGAACAATTTTAACTGAAATTCACGTTTGCGAATTTTTAACATTAAATCACTACTCCTAGAATAGACAAATTTGCAATGAGGAGAGGAGAATAGGGGGACCCGAGAAACTCAAACCGATCCAGACATCCGGCAAAAAGGCGATAGAATAGTAATTAGAAACGTTTGCGTCATTAGTAAAATAATTTCTCAAAAGTGAATCAAAAGACTAGCTTTATTTGCATAAAGATTTTCAAAGGAATGATTCGGTTTAATTTTTCCCTAAATAAGTATACTACGTCTGATATGTAAAGGTGAAAGTAAAAACTTAAATATGAGGTTGGATTAAGAAAACAGGAAAAAGCAGGGTCCCTCTGATTGCTTAACATATTATCGCATGAAGTTATTAGGTGTTAGTCTGTGTTATGGACACCACACTTTCTCAAACAAATCTATGTATTTAGTCCACCACGTTCCAATAATTCAAGTAACCAAAAGAATTGTGTGATGTTTTTGGTATAGTTCGCTGCAACGGTTTATTGTGACTTGTAGGAGACTGTAAAATGCATGCTATCAGTTATACGCGTGCACTGGAAGCATGGACATGTGTAAGTCTCTAGGTTCTCTCCCTTGTGCTCCTCATTCCCTCCCCGTTGCCTAAAACCCTCACGGCATAAGTGGTGGAAGGTGGTTTCAGCTTTACGTATCCGCTTGGCAAAGTCAGTAGACCTAGTCTCCGAAGCTGCGGTAACCAGCTTCTCTCTAGATGTGTTGTACAGCACTCGGAGAAGATCTGGTATACGGTGGCGTGAACTACCGGGTAAAGGGGATTTGCATGTGTTTACTTCTGGTGATGAACCACTGCAAGATAGATAGGTAAGGAGAGATGGAAAAAGTTTTTTGTCCCCTTTTATCGGTCAATTGTCGTTATTACTGAAAAGAGTTGGCGATTAATGTGTGAAGAGCAACACTCAACAGTGTTTAAGGGCATGAAAGGAGAGGCGTTTAAGCTATCAGTCAAACAGTCGCCATATGGCATGCACTGAAAGCAGACGACAGTAAGCTTCAAAGACTGTCAATTTGTCGTCCTTCATATTTTTGAATGTGTTATGCAGATGTGCCGTGGATTATGGGCTGTTTGATTGACTTAGTTTTATATTGTAGAATTCGTTAATCAAGCAGACATATCATTGTTAGAGTGTATCACCACCTTACCACCCTCTCCCTGCAAAATTCCAAGTCACACATTGCTTCATCCACAGAAGACTGCGTTCGTTTAAAGTGGGTGGCTGAGATTGTTTACTTGCGTGGAGTCAACCAAATGGGTGTGGTGAATGAGATCTATCTACTAGATGCCACCCAAGGCGACTTTCGTGGAAGGTGTGCACACTAACTACTCATGCCTCTTCTTGAGAAAGTCAAGACTATTGAGCCGAGACGAGAGAAGCCACATTCTTATGAGACAAAACTTAGTCGTGAGATGACTTACACCTTAGCTAGGATGGAAAGGGGGGAATACTACCACATCCGATTCAATACCTTGATTCTCCTCATATTTCTCCAAGTTATCGTAGCCTTTTATTGATGTCAAAAAATCACATAATCACGAGCGAAATGAAAAAGGAAGTTGAAAAATAAAGGCAAATTATAAGGATGTGTTTAGGGGCAGACTGTTGGCAATAAAAGGTCAAACGCCGTAAAAAGTGGAATTTGCAGCAAGTGTATGTCTGGATGGAAGTGAATTATGGACTCTGTTACGGTGCTTAGGTCACTAAACAAAATATTTGATGAGGCTGCGATACTCCGATTACTTGTTTAACTCTGCTTTGGTTTCATAGGCGCTTAAAAAGCTGCTTTTGTACTTCCGCTGGACATCGTGGCCTCTAGATCATGCCTGTAGCCCTTCAATCCTTCTGTGCGTCGTAAGTATATATTTTGCCCTAGTATTACGTCTTCTTTCTTCTCCAGAAAAGTCTCGAGGTGCCAAAAATTCTCCTAAAGTTATTTAACTAACGCGAACCTATTTGGTCACGTTTTTAGTAGAAAATAATTCTCCCCCAAACCAGGCTGCTGCAGTTGGATGATTAAAAGAAGGTGGTATTTACTAAAGACGATTCATGCAGCCTAATTGCAGGGCAATTCAGGTACATGAGAAGATTAATATTGCCATTTTCCTTAGTGGTTTAAAAACTCGTCGACCTTCGAAGGAGAATATGACAGCTAATGAAGAATGGATCTTCATTAAGGAGGAAACATACAAATTGTGTAGACAAAGTGTGTAATTTTATCTTTTGAGAACGTAAGGAGATGAATAATAAACTCGGTGCTCACAATAGGTCGCGATCTCCTCGATTCCTCTGAATTCATTAGAGGCTAAAATCGGCTAAATTTAGCACAGGATTATTGGAACATTGTTCTAAAAAAGTTTTAAAACTCTGAAGGCCCCCGCCATTGCACTTTTGTTGGGCGGCCCGATCGCCAAGCTGTGCCGGTAACCCCTCAGCCCTTTTGTTTGCCAACAATACATGTTCTACACCAGTATAATGTCTACGTTCGTCTTCAGGGAAGACACAAGGTGGCATAAGATAAAGGGATATGGATTAAGAAAGCATATAAGAGTCACTTGAATTATGCGTTGTCATTATAATAAAAGCAACATTTCTGGGAGATATAAATAATAATGGGAAAAGCGTAGTAGTATAGTCTTCCAGGACTTTAGAACTAGCTTTAATTGCATACGTTTGAAGGTATAGAAGAACTCTACCTCTCCTTTCCTGGTTCTCTATTTCCACCAGGATTGTCAGAAGTTTCGTTTTGCTCCTTTCATCCCATCTTCCTTAGGTTTAGGACACGTGCTAATAATTAAATTATGTAAGCACAAACCCCAGAAATTAAGTTTGTGCAAAACTTTCTTATTTAATATAAATAACTCTTATCCACTTTAAGGTAATTAAAAGCCAAATCAACCCTTTTACCGACTCAAAAATGGCGTCTGCCGAACTCGACTAACTGGGAGACGACACCGATTTATGAAGGACTGCTCCAGTATATAAACTCCTCAGCCCAACGTTGAATTCGTGGTAATAAACGGTTTCAAGTCTATCATCAAAAAGGCGAATAAATAATCTAGCTACTTCCGCCATTTTAGTGCAATAAAGTGCCTACTCACCCCTAAGTGCGGCGCGGTGCAGATGCCTCCGAAATTGCTTCAAATTATGCCTTCAAATCGGGTGTTTTATTAAAGCCACCAAGCCGTAACTGTCACTCCCTCCGTGGAGCAAATAAGTACTTACGTTTTAAAACGGTAAAATGGGTTGATCACCAGATAGGAGGGCATTTCACACTTCTGTGGTGTTACCAGCCTACATGGATGTAACTCTTTAGGCATGGACCGAAATCCTTTTAAATTTTTAATTAAAATTTATACGTAGAAGCCTAAAAAGCTGACTGTTAGACAGGATTGTACCTCGAAAAAGCTGAAAAAACACATTACAGAAATCGCGTGCATTAAATTTCGCTGAGATAAAGTGAGGCGTCTTTTTGAGGGAAGGGGACATGGCTTCCAACCACAGCCCTTCAATGAGGTTCTCACGAGGCTCCAAACAGTTGCGCCTATGTGTCAACTGTGCATACTTCTTTTTTTTCAGGATACTTGCAAAATCGGCTTTTACTCCCTGAGAGGCAAAGAAAAAGTAGTCTTTTTTAACCTACTGCACCAACCGAGAGAGCATGGGTGAGGCAAACGTGAAAGCAAAACAACAAATTTGTTGGGAGTTATTGAAATGTGATTTTAGTTTGTGACTTGCAACGGCTTTCGGGTGATTGTGTTAAAGAGAGTAAATTGCATCACAAACTGAAATTCCTGAAAAGAAATAAAGATGCCCATTCCTCTCCCTTGATGTTGGATGGTAAATATATAGTCAACCAGGTTTCGTAGTACCTCAGAATCCCCCAGATCTAATGTTCATTCGTGCCTAGGTTGCCAGACATCATTTGGAGTTGAAAGAGTGATGAGCATACATGTTCTATGCTGTAGTAGAAAACCACACGCATGGTGGAAAAATATTCTTAAAATTGGTCTTAAGTACCCCGAGACTTTTCTGAAGAATTCGTACTCGAGTAAAATATGTTTCCAACGGACAGTAGGGCTTGGAGCTACTGGCGTAGCCTGGAGACTAGATGGCTTGGTGGAGGCACAATAGTGGAGCCTCAAGTAGCCCCTCACTAAATCCCAAAGTTAAACAACCGACGCATACCACAATCCCTCTCCTCCTTTAAGTATTATCCTTAAGTCTCTCCTTGGTCAGCATTTACGTGTCAGCCATCACGACGCAGTGGCTGCTGTAAGAGATACACCCATGAAGCAACCGCACCAGTTGTCAAATTGCGTGCGACCGAGGAGACATCTAACTGCAGCGTCACTGATCCCCATTGACAGTTCTACTGTATCTGGAGCTTCGTCCTCTTTAGGAACCTTATTAGGGAAGGAGGAAGTGGTCAGGTCATCGTGCACATCCACTGGGAGTGGTAAGATTACTGGCCCAAAAGAACAGTGCTTAAAAAAGTTTGTGAGGATAAGGTTTAGCGTCTACTTTTCATTGTCATTTTGTCTTCACTTCAGCGCTGTCCAGCCATATATCTACTTGGGTTCTATCCATGCCTAGATGGCATGCCCCTACGGGTTCTGCAGAGAGCTCCGTAAAGAACTTTTCAGATTGTTCACAGCTGGTGTCAGTTCAGCTGTTTATGGAATCCCCACAGAACATGGGACTGAGGTGGGTGCCGAAAGTAGACGTCATTCCATCCTTTCTGTTTAAGGTTGTCGCAGTTTCCCCCATCAGCAGCATATTCCCTTCCTCTGTCAACTTAAGATTTGGCAGCCAGAGATAGAAATAGGGATGGATGACCTTTGGGATCGGGTTCCCCTTCTAAAGCCGTCAATGCATTGCCGAAGTACAGAAGGGATGAGGGCGGAGGCGGGGGCTAGTAGTATGACCTTTAGGGCATGCCGCTCATTGAAGGCACAATGGCGGAGCCTAAAGTGTCTGCTTATCCAAAACCGGGACAATCAAAGTACTGCAACTTGTTATAGGTGCTTGAAGTGACACCTTTTGATATAACATGCGAAACCTGTATCCTGTGATCAAAGGGAAGATGTAGGAAGAGTAAAAGCAATCGAATCCGGCCTATAAAATTAGTTTAGTATATGAAAGATAATATGACTTACAAATTGTTCTTGAGATTCATTTGTCCAATGCAGCTGTAGGGTTTGGAAGGAAAGGTACCCCAATAGGTATACGTCTTTGATCAAAAATTGCACAAATGAATGATCGTTTGCCGACATTAAAGTTGAAAACAATCAGATATTGGCCAAAAATGTTATTGTAAACAAGTCTACATTTTTAGCTAGAAATGAAATTGCACCCATTTTTCTGCAGATAGCGCCACCGGAATGGAGGCTATCATGTTAGAAACAAATGGGAAGAAATAAATGCTGGGGATGAATGTAGAGTTTACTACCCTTTTCAACGCCGCCTTAAAATGTAGCTCTAAAAGAGAGAACCTCTTAGCTGCCTCACCATCTAAAGCCTCCTAAAATGGCACTGGCGTTTCGTCGCCTGGAGGGAGAGCGGCTTTTGAGGAGACAGTCGTTCGAATTCTCGAGGCAAATTACTTGTTTCAACAAATTCCGGGATAAGGCGAGTTGTTCCGACTAAAGGTTTCACGGCTTATAAGTAGACTTGTAGGCTAAAATAAAAACAGGACACCTCTGTCATTGAAAGGGACTTTATAAAGAGCTCTTTAAACCATTTCTTTATGGAATGTCGAGTGGGCAATTAGCAAAATAACAAATTTGAGAGCGTATTTTTTTTAAGCGGCAAAGCCAAAAATAGGTCATGTTTAATCAACTAAGAGGAGCAGTCTTTACACTGGTTGTTACACATTATTGTACGTATCGCACATTTTTCAACATTTTCTTTTTACTGAAATTCGTGGCAATCAAAGGAGTCTATCCGGAGAAAGATTTTGACGCCCAACCGCAGTCGTGCGCCGAGTAGGAGGAAATTCCACAAGTGAAATGTCTTTTGCTCCCAGTTACTAGCAAGACATATTGACAAGCCTTATCATAAGGTATGGCCACTTTTGAAAAGGCAGTTTTTTTCGTTTCAATATATCGTCCAAACGAACCGCTGTTTATTTATGCATTGTAAGGTAGTCCAAACTTGTGAGATTGCCCCCAATTATAGACCTCCCTCTAAGCTTGACTGTAAACAATGTAAGCATCCACTTTTCTTTCAAAATAAAACCGTAAATTGTTCAAAGTTTGACAGGATTTTCTATTACAGAGGCAAGTTTTTCAGAGTCTGAATGGTACTTTATGGGTCATTTGGCCCATTAATCGCTAGACTTACCCGCTTCAACCAATACAACCCACTTTTACAACACCAAAAAAGGAAATAAATAGGCGAAATGTATTTATTAATTTTAAGAGAAACGCAAATAAAAATAGGTTTTAGGCTAAAATAAAACTTATAAATGAATTTACGCATTTATTGGTGGCCAAACTAAATAAAGTTTATTACGACGTAGTGAAACGTATGTGGGATGCGAGAAGCAGAAGCACTAAACTCCTCATTGAGGGAATTTTTCCTAAAGGAAGTAAGAAATGATTTAAAATAAAGGAATTAAAAGGAACAAGTTTTAGAATCGCAGCTCACCACGACCTCTCTAGAGACGAAAGAAGGCTAAAAACTTGGGCAGAATATGTGTTGCCAATGTAGGCAAGGGTAAGGGGTTACTAGCATGGCCCGAAGGTCAAGATGCCTGGGGGAACTACAATTGCCAACCCTTAGGCGTCCACATAATCAAAAAATAGATCTAAACAAACAACCCAAGTCCAACATAGTTCCCTCACCTTATAAGCGCCGTCACTGGCGCTCCCCTAGGTCACCTCTCGCCTCGAATATCACAACTTGGTCAGTGTTGAAAAGAAAATACCCACCAATCAACCTTGTCTATCATCGAATTGGCCTAAATCTGAGAAAATACTTGACCGCAACGCCACTGATTCCTCTTGCCAATTCTCCTGGAACTGGAGTTTCATCCCATTTTGGAACTATATTGGAGAAAGTGAGAATGAGCTGGCCATCACGCAAGTCCATAGCCAGTCGCAGAGTCATATAACAAAGGACGAGATTTAGGATAGTTCAATGGGGATAAGGCTTTGCGTTTTTTTCTCCCTGTTACGGTTTTCCCAACTCAGTACTGCCCAGCCATGTCTATCCGGGTTTTATCTAGCCAATCGAGAAGTGGAGGAAGTACCAAGTGTTCATGTGAATGATATCTGCATGGAGGTACGATAGACGGCCCTGCAACAAACGTTTACAGATGGTTCATGGCCATGGCTAGTGTCCCTTTATTTGCTAATAGCATTACTGCAAAACACGGAGCTGGGGTAGTTTTCGAGGTTAGACGGCATTTTCAACCCTTCTGCCAGACACTGTCACAGATTCTCCCATCCCCATCATATGTCCTTCTTCCGCCCCACTAATGTCTATCACCCAGAAGTAGAAATCAAGATGGTCGTGCTTTAAGATTGAACTTGCTTCCCACTGTCACTAATGTAGCCTTCCAATTCATTCCCAATGACAAAAGAAACCATGACGTTAGGGCAGATTATATGTTGTCAGGGGGGCAGCCACTGCCATGTCCCGTAGGCCATGCTGCTCGGTGAAATTACAATCTGTGGAACCTTAAGAGCCCTAGAAACCAAAGAGAATAGTTGAGCAGGTAAACGACGGATTTCGTCAAAATAATATTTCGGCAGAATTTATTCCCAGTGGTGGTAAATGCCTTCACTGTTTATAGGATTAGTGTTTACAGGGACCAACAAAAAATGAAGGCTTTAATTTTAAATTATCTCACTCGATGAAACATGCAATTTCGAAAGTTGGAGGGGTAAATATTGAAGGTTTCTGGTAAAAAAATGAAGCATTCCCATTTGGTTAACTGATTACGTGGCGCCTCATTTGATGCTTTCACCACTCAAGGCTTAGACGCAAAGTGGTTGTCACAGCACAGATGTTTCATAATTCCATCATGACACCAAACATCTTTCCTTTTTTGTTTTCTTGACTGCTGCTCACAACTGGAGGTGGTACTTATCCTCACAACACTAACGTTCCACACTTATTCTGCTGTTTTTATCTTAGCTAGCCCATTTTCAACACAATTTTGCGTAAATAGTTATTAAAAAGTGATGAAGAGCACACACTATACATTTCTAGCATGCAGTTCAGCTGAAGTCTGAATGTCACGCATGTATGACGAGGACAAATAAGTTTCCTAAACTCACAATGCAAGTTACGCTCAAAAACAGCCAAATTGATAAACACAAACTTTCTAAAAACTCCCTCTCAAGTATAAAGGTTTTAGAAGGAGAGGCAGATAAAGGCACGGAGGCAGCTGCAACTTTATTGCCCCATTCGAGGCATTATTCGAAATGCAAAGGTTTACCTGACAGAATTTATTCAAAGTGCATCGCAATGCCAATGATCGTTAAAGGTGACACTAAGAGGTCGTTTATTTATGTACCTCTTCCAAATTAACATGCATTCCGAGTCTGTAATTTGCCAAAGTTGTACTGTCTTATTGTAAATTAACTGATTTAGCCAACATTTTGTCTGTGCTTGGTACGCTTTTATGTGGCAGGCAGTAATCAAGAAAGGAGGTGCCTTTTTGCCTTTGATTAATGTTTGTGTCAAACGCAAAATATTCATCTCCTCATGGTTAATAAATCCACAAAATGCACTTACTTGATGAATTGTGAAAGGACGACGAATGTAATCTTTGCATTCCTAGTTAATTAGAACCTCAATCTTGCTAAACCCTTTCTTGACTAACGCTACAAGTAGTTAGAATTCAACCTCTCTAATTATGCATCACGAAATACACTTTGTTAAGTGGTACAGCTGTTGTGAGGTTATGGGAAGAGAAGGCTATTTAACAACATCGTTTGGTGACAAGGAGACGCCGACCATCTGACTGGCGGTGGCACAGTGGACTGAGGCGATGCGCGTGGCGGAAGACTCATCAAAAATTCGGTCAGGCCAATGTTTACTTAGATTTCTGCTCTTCTAGATTGGTTTTTACATCAGTATTGGAGATGGAAGTGCCATTCAGTTACGTTAGGGTGTCTAGCAACTATAATTCACGAATTATTTAACCACCTATGTCACCGTTGCTCCGTGAGTCCTTCCTACAGACGAAAGAAGTTATAACGCTAGAGTAAAATATATATTGCTGACGCAGAGGAGGTCTGAGACAGGGGGCTACAGACATAGTCCGAAGGCCATGCCACCCCGAGGAAGTGCAAAGGCGGGGCCTTAAGTGCCCCCAAGCAGAAAACAAGGCGTTAAACAAAGCAAAGTCACTAATCTATCACCAATCGAACAAGAAATTTTCCAAGAGTAACTACAACCTGTTTAGCTTTAAAGCCTAATTTACAAAACTCTACTTTAAGAAGATGATTATTCCAGGATTTAGCTAAAATACGTAAGATGGGAATAAACAATTGTGAGAAAAGGATACGAAAGAAATGGAAAGCAACGATGAAATTATAATAGGCCACTTAGGAAGTGTCAAAAGTAAATTTGAGAAGCCGACAAAAAATTTTCAGGCGGCAGCCTCGATTCCACGCATCTACCGCGTGCTCGCTGCGTCGGCACAACCGAACAGGCAAATGAAGCGAGCCCCTTAAGCAAGTAGAAAGTAAATCTTCCTAGCACGTATTTCCCTGAGTTAAAATGGAGTAGGCAAAATTTCCTCGCATCCGGTATTATCTTACAAGGTCGTGGATATGAAGCCACCTTAAACACAGATAAAACACAGGATTATGTATGTAGACATCTAATTTCTCTGAGGGTTGTGAATTTGCTCACTAGTCAAGGCATTTAATAGAAAGGGAATTGGTAAGGTAATTTAAAAAGAAGATGATAGATTGTGCAATTGCCTCATGCTCCCAGAAGGCGTTATGAGGTAGATAAGTCTGGGTAGAACTATGATAAATGAGCCAGTAACAAAAATAGCATGAGTATCGCGTTATGACGTCAAGATTGCCATCAAAATAAGGAAGATCGAGGGTCCTGCTTTAATGAATTTACAACTAAAACGACACTGTTCCGCTACCCCTTTCCTGAGCATTTTCCTTGCCTATCTCACTACTCAGTCGACTACTTTAATTAGGATAAAACCCATTCATTACCCTCTTTCAGAGTGAAAAATTTTGGTTTGTAAATTTATTGATGCGGCCGTCGTTTCCGGAGGATCCTCTTTGGAAAGTGCATTGTGAGATTCCAGGCCCTGTACTGTTTAAGACTGGTCGGTATTCTACCGTAGGTGCAGCTGAAATGCCAATCACCTTGCGTGAAAACATCTGCCGAAAACCAAACTGTTTCTTAAAACACTTAGAAAGCTTCCTTGTCACGTTGTTTCTATTTCTATACTTCATAGTCATCTACCTGGAGACGGTAAAGATGTCTTGATAAAAGTATTGCGTTTTTAAATCATTCCGATTAGATGTCACTTTATTCGGTATTTGCATTGCTATAGACAACAATGGTGAGGCGATTCGCAAATCAGAAGTGTCTTTGAAGACTGGTCTGTTGCGAGTCCCTTTACACGTCTCGTAGTTCTGTGATGTCAGTCAGGTAGCGAAATCGGTAAAATTGCTCTTTTCTGGTGGTTGCCTAACCACAGCCTCCAACGAAGATGCCGTTATGAATGCACAAAAAGGCTTAAGATAAAAGAGACGCCGAGACTGAAGAGTCTGCTCAACTAAGCAGACAACTTAACCTACCATCTTACATAGAGCAGAATCATTTCAATTAGTGGCTGAAACTCAAGAAGTATCAATGCCTCACAGAATAGAAGCCGTCCAAAAGACGGAATATTTTTCCACTCAAGACTTTATGTCTCAGGTATGCACGAGGCATCACATGAAAAACTATGGTAAAATTAGGCGATCTAAGTACGAGGCATAGGTAGCATCATCACACAAGATTTGTAAAGCAGATAAATGACAAAATAATTAAAGGAATGTTTGCATTCTTTTCACTTATACGCCTCTTCCTCGTAACTTAAGGGAAATTTCAAAAACTATGAAAGGGTCATGATTAGCGTTTACCAGAAAGTCCGCTGAGAAGGGTCATAATTTACCGATTTAAAATAACTTGAATGTAATAACTCCCAGTTTTGGTAACGGGCCACTTAGCTCTGCCACTGTATTTCCACCGAGCGGCGTGATCTTCGGACCATAAGAGTGGACCCAAGCCCTACTATAGGTGAATAATATGTATTTTGCCCTAGTATTATGTCTACTATTGACTTCAGGGAAGTCTAAAGCCGTCACAAATAAGCCTTACAGGTACATTAAAGTTACTGCATAAAACAAACGATCTTTTGAGCGGAAGCAGAAATCGTGAAAACCTGCAGTGGGGTAGGCGTTGAATGAATTATACTTCACTGCAGAGTAAGGTTGAAAGTGGCGCGATGTAGCCTAGGCAACTCACACCTTGTAATATATAACAACAAAAGGGGCTGCAAGTGAAGATCTAATCATCCCATACCAAAGTTTACCTTTTTTGTTGCCTAAATAAAACGCAATTTTTCCTTTAAGACTTGTCCTAATCATCATTGTTAGAGGAAATAGTACAGCCAATTTTGGGAGACTGTAATTGGCGAACTAAAAAAATCACAAAAAGTGAGTAGAGATGAAAAGACGTCAGAAGGACGGCACCTGTGGTGCTCTGCATTCACAAAAGGCAGTAAAGTGAGGCAGTAACAGAGTTTAGCAAAAAAAAGTGGAAAGCGGATTACAGTCTGGCCTTCAGTGGTAACTTTTTAGGAGGGAATGATCTTTTTCCGTAGAATGCAGTTTTTCCCTTGCTACTATTTCCAGGGAAGCTAACATATAATAGAATCTTTTACATGAAGCACCTCACCGATCACCTTCAGGCTCAGCGACGCAGCAGAGCCTTATTTGAAAAATGTGGATTTACGATGGAAAGCGTTGACTATGGTTTTGACAGCTCCTACATTCTAGTCATACGCCAGAAGCAATGACAGCGAATCATGCAGTATGCGGAAATGACCATCGATTCTGAAGTGCTCTTCATGCATAATAAAAAGGTGGCTTTTCTTTCTTTAAAGTGTTTAACATGTACGAAGAGTTTGCACTCATATATCATTGTTATTCGTTTTCATATGAACAGTGACATGGATATCACCAGAAGGCCAACATATTCCAGTACACTCTATCTGGCTAAAACCCCCTCATAAAACTTATATCAAAGTTCCGGCAAATCTTTAATTGTTATTAAATTCTGCTAGGATTTTAAAAGAGCCGGAAATGGTGGAGAGCGGCTGCGCTGACTTAGGCATATGGTTGTTTTCTTGCAAAATAAATGTCAAGTAAATCACATTTGTCTCTTTTGCTACCTAATGTCAAAAAAGTATTGTTGATTTCAACCGCAATTATTCTTAAGAATAACCAAATTAGGGAACATGGACAAATTTAGCTTGGCGTTAATGGTGCGGATTAAAATTTTTGCGTTCACTGCAGAACCCTGGTCGTTCGTTCACCTTTTTATGTTGATTTTGTGAGTACTTAAAGCCCCGTTTTTCTACCAGTAAATACCCAGCTCTTCTGCTCATCGACAATACATTATTTTGCCCTAATATTTTGTCTTCTCTAATCTTCGCGGAAGTCTCGGGGGCACCACATTGGTGGCAGTGGAGTACAAACCCTATTCTTAAGGACAATTACCCCGGTTCCTATTGTCAAAGGGTGAAAATCATCGTAACGGAGGAAGGTATGTACAGCGGCTGAGAGAATCTGTGGTCAGCCGTAACAGAAGGTATGGAAACGACGTCTACCCTTAGCATCTACTTCAGTTGTCTGTTCTGCAGGAATGCTGTTAACAACTGATGCGACACTAGCCGTGAACCATCTAGAGATGCTCCTTATGGAGCTGTCGTCGGTAACTGCATGAATATATCAATGCAGCGAACACGCGATACCTCCTCCACCTCTTTACTACCTGATTATAGTCGGGAGAGATTAACTGATTAAATAACTCCTTTAAAACCAGCAATGCTGTGACTAGCTATTCATACTCGTGACGGCCAGTACATTCCTCTTTCTCTTGATACGGTTCCCAAACAGGCCGAAACTCCTCACTTAGATGAGGTATCAAAAGGGATCAGCGGTGTCATGGTCATAAATTTCAGCTGAATGCAAATTCGATGACTGGCGCAATTGCTTCTTGGGTGTTTTTCGTACAGCGCAGACTACGTTATGATGGCCAACTCGGAAGGTTGGCCAAGAGGAGCGCTGAGAACGACGCTCAAAAGGAGACAGTAGCTGTATAATACTTTACTAATATGTTTTATCCTGTTTTCGCAATCCATTAAAGCTCCGAGATAGTACTGACGTTGAGCGGCATGGCTTCCGGAATGTGCTAGTAGTCCCGCAGCCATTCTGTACCTCGGCAGTACATATTTTGCCCTAAAATTATGCCTTCTTTTGGCCACAGGAAAAACTTGGACCTCTACGACAACTCAGTCCGTGAAGATTTGAACAGTAAAGGTGTTTGCAGGTTGATGGGATCGTTGTTGGTGCTGATTAAGCTGCCAAGGATAGGTTTTTAAGTTTACTTCTTAGCACACTATTTTGAAAAATGCCTTGTGGGGGGTGGGTGGCATCAGGAGTTTGCTTTAACAAACCAACATTCAGCCTAATCCGTTTAAAGGTTACAAGCTTTGCTTTCTTCACTCCATCTGGCGCATACTCATTTGAAGGAGTCGAAGTGGGTAATCCGCGCTTCATTCGGAGCAAATGAACTAAAATTCAACTAATAACTCCCCCTTCTTTTCCGCCTTTTATTGCTCTTACCAAGCCAGGCTTTCCGAGTGCGATGCTATTATCACTTTATGATGTGGCGGAGGGAAATTAATGCAAGTCTCTCAAATATATGCACCAAATCGCACCCAAATTAGCAATCTTTTAGTGTAAAGTAATCCCTGTCGATTAGGGCGCAATTGCCTACGATGCCTTAAATATCGCTTGTCTGCACAGCCTTTACTACCCTAAAGGCTTTACATTTTCGGAAATAAAGAACGTTTGATTAATTCGTAATAACCATTTTCGCCCGCCTTCCGTCACGAAAGCTGATAACTATGTAGTATGATTTTTTACCCTTTTATAAAGGACGCTAATCTAGCTAAGTTTATTTGAAAGCACAGAATAGTGCAGTGTAGCGCTTGTCTTTCCTAAAGAGGAAAGAAGCTATAATACTAAAGCAGAGTTTTTACTGCAGACGTAGAGAAAGGCTGTAGGCCACTGGCATAGCCCGAAGACCACACCACCCAGTGGAAGCACAATGGTCGCGCCTTTCAATGTCCAAGAAACCAAAAAGAAGAGTTAAACAAATAGTCAAAGTACATAGTGCCCTCTCCTTTTGAGCGTCGTACTCGGTGCTCCCCTTGGCCATTCCCTAGCGTCGACCCACACAATGCAATCGGTGCTATAAGAATGAAACCCACGAACTAACCATCTGCGTTAGCCCTCAAATTTATGTACAGCTGAGAAGATGTCTGGTTGGCCACTTCACTGATCTCTTTCGGTAATTGCATTACATTTAAAATTTTGTCCTGATTGGGAAATAAATTGAGGGAAGGGTGTGTGTGCTGGACATTTCGACTGTCTACTGTTGGGCGTAAGAGCACTGGTCTAAAAGCAAGTTTAGTCAATAAGAGACGGAATTTTAAACAGTTTCTTGGGATGAGGTTTAGCAGTTATTTCTTCTTATTGCCTTGTTCTCATTTCAGCATTGCCCAACCATATCTAACTGGGTTTTATTCAGCTAGTAGAGAGACGGAGAAGTAGGTACAACGTGTTTACCTAGTTGATATCTTCATACGGGTACCGTAGGCAGTTTCTCAAAGAATTTTTAAAAGATGCTTCATGGCTAGTGCTGTATTAATTCTCAAAAGCATTCCAGCAGAACACGAGACTGAGCTTGTTGCCGAAGGCTAACGTCAATGCCAACATTTCTGTTGAAGCTGGTCACCGAAACCCTTCTTCTGTCAAGTCATGTTGCAGCACTCTGCAATAGAAATTGGGGTATTTGTCTTTAAAAATCGGATTCGCTGCCCACTGACACTAATGTAGCGTTCTGAGTCTTTCCTGAAGAGGTAAGGAGCCATAATGCTGGGACAGATAAATGTATTGCCAACGAAGAGAAGAGCTAAGGGATACTAATGTGACCCACAGGTTACATCACCTAGTGGAAACAGTGCAGTGCCAGCGAAACCAAGACGAAGACTTTAATAAATTATCCAAGCATTACGAAATTCTTAGCATGTCTGATACTTTTTATAGACCTTCCAAAGAAAATTGAATCTCCCTCCCTCAAATTTGATGCTTTAATGTCCTAGCACACTACCTTCACCAAGTATACTGCAAAAGTGATTAAATTAACGGTTACTATAAGAAAGTCCTCTACCTATTCCAGCGTTCTGTCACTAAAATGATTTGTTGCAATCAGTTATTACAAACTGCCACTTATTTATGACGCCAGGCTCAGGTAAGAACGTCGGATTGGCATTCATTGACGTTAGTAGCAACTATAAAATAGGCATACTCATTTCGATAGCGATTAAAGCCTTTTTCGAAACTGTGATAGTTCCTGTTTCTTTTTCTAACAAACACAGCGGCCCTTTATTCGACTCCGGATTTGCGTACTTAAACCTCATCATCGCGCAAAACCGACAGGGATTGAAGTTGTGCTACGCGATTATTAGAAAAAAAACTTAGTGTTTTAAAATCATTTACATTTGCACAGATAAAGGGCTTAGTTTTTCCCCGAAGGAGATGAAAAAACTGTACATTCCAAAAAACACGACTTGAATTAATCGAGCAAGTGAAAAGGGCACTTATAAAATGGCACAAAGATTCATTTTTTTGCAAGCAAGCACACCTTACCGTGATAAATTTAGATAAAACAGTTGCTTCATTTAAAAGGTAAGAGCGCAATGTGAATATTTCGGGGCTAGATGTTACGCCATACAAATGCGTAAATAAATGGAAAAGACATCCGTATTTCCCGTCATATTGGAAACTGAGATTTTTAAACAATCGCGTAGTTAGGGAGTGTGCTGTTTACATTACAAATAGGTTCAGCTTTTTATTTTTAGGTTAGCCATTGCATTAATTATGACGATGGGCAAATGTAGCTCTAATTTTCTCGAGGTTCTTTAATGGCCACTTTTTCAAGGACGACCCTACACTACAAACTAGAATTGTAGCACTTCGATACCTCCTAGAGGATAAAAGTAAATGTAGTAACTTGGGCAGGATATGCATTGTAGACGCACCGAAAGGCTTGGTTCCACCGTCATGGCCCGGAGGCCAGCCCACCTGGTTATAGTAGCACGAAGGACCACCTAAGTGTCTCCTTCACCAACACCGAGAGTTAATCAAACATCCAGTGTATTGTAAGGATGCTTAACTGAGGCGAGCGGGATAGTTAAATTATGTGGGAGACATTTTCATAAATCATTTTGGCCGCTTGCTCCTCAATTGCACATGGTGGGTTGGAAGAAGCAGGCCTCCCGATACAGTGCATAGCAATCACTTTTAATATCCGGAAGTAGGCCTCCACATTGGCTGTTGCATCGGCACGGGAAATAGTCGGGTGGTAGAACATACTCCCTCCATTTACTGATTAACCCCAATTCGCGTGGATATGGATGTGCATAGCAGTCATAGCCGAGGTTTTTGATAAGATCAAATTGTGAAGAGTTCTTTGCCCCATTTTGCTATGAAGAGAAGGTTTGGATTGGAGGTCAAAAGGCCTCCATTAGATGCATGACCAAGGGGCCTTATGGCATTCGAGGAACACCACTGATGCGATGAAGTTGGCAGGTCCTGGCACTATTTATTCTCAACATCAACTGGAGGTATGAGATAGATATTGTGTTACAAAGGTTTTGCATCCTCCTGTCAGTACCTAAACAAACACAAAGATACTGTAATTTAGGCTTGTAAACAGATCATTAAAAATAATAAAAATACATTATTTTTAAGGTCGCCTGACTCTTCTGTACATTATAAATTTTAGCTACGACACTTTGGATTGGGTTGTTTTTTCGATCTATAGGTAAATCCCATTCATATTGTTTCTAAAAACCAAATTGTATTATAGGGTGACATGGAGAAGGAGGTGGAGGTGAAAGAGCAAGAGAGAGCCATATTTCTTAATGAATTATTACCTACTTCAAATAAAATTAAGCCTAAAAAAGGCCTCACAAGTGGACAACAATCATTTCACTTCTGTGTTGAACGGAAGTTCTCGCCTAGCCCAATAATGTTCAGTCTTTGCAATGTTTTAACATCAATGCAGCAAAAAAAATACGCATCCAAACGGTGGAAAGAGAAAAAAAGGTCCATACGATTGGGGACTTATTGCTGAGTGGTCATTTGACAAAGACCTGTCATTCGCTTAATGGGTGTAACAAAGTGGCAAGCAAGTTGTAAACACTGCCGTAAAGATATATTACTTTATGAACAAAATTTTGCCTATGGTTTTAGGAATTGTTTAAAAAAGATTACTGAACTTTGTTTATTTTTTGGGGTAAAATCTTTCTCAACT